AAGGATAAAAATATGGAACTTTCATTTTGATACTCACCCGTTCAACAATAATGTTCCCGCCACCTTCTACACCCGGGTCTTATTTCCCTTCATGGGTGAAGGGTTCTAAGCTGTTGTCCCTGTTGGCTGGGCCTCCTTCTCATCCAAAATCTCCAGTCTCTGGCTGGACCTTGTGGGTTTTGGGAGGAGTCAAACTTCATTTCTACAAATCCATGTAAAATTGTTAAGTGCAAATAACAAGACCTGTACAGAAATAAAAAGAATTAAGAAAAGAAAGCAAACCTGAGTGAGGATGACACCCGGCCTCTACAGTGTTGCCCGGGGAGGATACCTCGTGCCCCCCTGCTTCATGGGCCTCCGAGGTACCCTCACCACCCCGGATTAGTCTTTTCACCCAACTCCCGAAGGAGAAGTTCTCCCCGGTGCTGGGATCGCCTTACAAGAGCGTTTCTGTAACGCCACAAAACATACCTTAGAATTATTAATAGATAATTATTAAAATAAATCAAATTTGTTTTGATTAAAATAAATTGTTATGGGCTTTGGGCCGATAGAAATATGTTTTGATATCCCATATCATAATCAGGATAAATCTCATAGAGATAAGTCCAATTTATTGACTATTTGTGTGGTCTTGATTGGGAACCTAAGTACAGACCCAAATCAAGAATAAATGAAGAAATTAATTATGATGTGAACATTGAAATGGTTTATTGAAATAAATCATAAGAATAAACGCGCCTTGTCATAAGATATAACCCGCAGGAAGCAACCAACGCGCCTTGTCAAGAGCGGCATTTGACACAGAGGTTGCATACAACGTACCGTTATCAGTAGGGAGTGGAAAATAACCGGCCTCCCAAAGGAGTTTTCCCACTCCTACCAGGTCTCCCTATTTGGGTCAAAGGGACCCGGTTCTTGATTTATAGGTGTCGGGTTCAGGAACGGGACACCCTCAGGAAACCCCCTCAGGAACCGGTTCTTCCTGGGCCGCAGGGGATGAAGACTATGAAGAAGAAAAAGAAGTGGACGAGAAAGAATCCTAGGACGCAGACGCGTACGAGGCGAGTGAGAGGTTTTGACTATCCTCTGAAGACATGGCCGGTGAACAAAATTAAAGAAGGATCGGGAACTTAATTGATGATTAGAAGACTCGGAGGTCTTAGAAAGAACTTGACTGGGTAGAGACGCATGAGCAAAATGGCGAAAAGTGAAGAAGGCAAAGAGGAAAGAGAAAGTGCAACACATGGCGCTCAGGAGATGAAACGTCAGGTAAAATGCAATGATGGCATACGGAGAAGGCGCGACACGTGGATAAATTTGAATTTTGAACTTTAAAAATATTAAGCAAGAAGAGCTTAAAATTCAAAAATTTAGGCGGGAAGGCTCAAAATCCAAATTTCAAGCGCTAGATTCCGGAACTTTACTTCCCGCCCTTGATAAAATTACGCGACCGGGAAGTGGGGGGGTTTATTGATGGGTGTATTCCACCAAGAACCCGTTCCGAAACCGGCCCGCAAAAGGTAACCGATTAAGTTGTAGACATGATAGCGTAGAGGATTTAAACTGAAATACGACATCGGTTAACTTCAGAAAAGTTGACCGATACCGTTCATTAACACACCGGTCAAAGTATACGACTTTGAGCTGGCTGACTTATGATCCTAGAAAACATATAAGATAAACCTACCGGGTATGGTTCTATGCTAAAAGTGTCGGCACGAATAACTCCAAGATCGTTTGGACGATAGTGACTGATTTTCAACGAGAGATTGAGGGAAATATTCCCTCAATCTCCACTGAAATGCGCCGAAAGAGGAGTCACTAGCACAAGAGGACAAGAGAATGAGACAAGAGGCTACGAGCCAAAAGAGGGAAGCCACCTCACACCATCAGAGAACGTGAGATGACGTGGACGCGCGGCGCTCTGTCCCCTCCCTTTTCTATAAATACCTATGTAATCCTCAAAGGAAGGGTTCCAAATTCTTCTCTCTGAAAACCCTTGTGTAATAGCTACCGTGCACTTTACTATATTCTAATAACAATTGGGCTACAGGTGTTTCCACCTAGAGTCCTCTCAGTTAACCTTCGTGTTTCTTACTCTTTACTTTCTCGAGACCAGTAAACCTACACCAGGTCTAGAATGGTTTACCTGGTTGTTAATTTACACCATCAATATATGTGTGTGTGTGTGTGTGTGTGTGTGTGTGTGTGTGTGTGTGTGTACTCCCTCCGTTGTCAAAAACACTTCCTCTTTCATTTTCTTCACTTCCAACAAAACACTTCCACTTTCTATTAAAAACCACTTTTACCCTTACTTTTTCATAACCTATCTATCACATCATACCTTTTCTCTAATAATCTATCCATCACATTTTACATTTACCCATTACATCAGGGGCAAAATTGGAAGTCAAATATAATTTAACACTTCCTTATTTTTGCTTCAAGTCAAAATAGGAAGCCTTTTTGCAAACAGAGGGAGTATATCAGGGCTAGTCCTGAGGATTCATGTGGCTGGGCCGAAACAGAAAAAAGGCCCTAAAAGTCTTATCCTTAATGGTCTAATAACAAATTCACACATGTAAATTAATTATATTTAAATTATAATTAACGCAATATTATTAGAAGAAAATAATAAATGACAAAATTATGGTATTATAATTACATACCGTAAAATTGTTTAGGAGCCATAGCTATTGAATTATTTCTGAAATAAAATCCAAATTCATAAATTCTACTATCTAGTAAAATCAAGATTGAAAAACTGAAAAAGCAAGCAAATAAATAAATATATCATAATTTAATATCAATTCGTGAATTTTTCTTTTTTTAATTGTTTTTTTCTTTTTCAGTTTTAATTTTTTTACAAATCATAAATTCATATCAATTCGTCAATTTATTAGTTTTTATTTTTTTTTTGATTTTCAGTTTTTATATAAATATATCATAAATAACAAATTCAAATCAATTCATCCAAATCAAATAAATAACATATAGAACCATTAATTCATTCTATTTCAAAGAATGAAAATAGAAAAGATTTCAAATTAAAAACTAATAATTAACCCTAGATTTTAAATCTAAAAAATGAAACAAGGAAAAAAAATTAAGATTTAAGAAATAAAAATTACAAAATTGGAAAGCTATGATATGAATAATTGAATATGGATATTGTTAGCCTTGGTTTGCTAAGCCTCATGTTTTGATGTTAACAAACAATATAAGAGCTTAACGTTTGTTTAAGTGTTTCAGGAAAACAAGAATCCATTAAGATTCGGTACTCAAGAATGAAGTCGAAACACTAAAACTAGCGTAGAATATATGTAGAAATCAATGTAAGGATATGACTTTATATACCTATATTCACAAGCTCAAAAGCACTCACAAAATATGTTTAAAACCATCACATAAACACTTTCAAATATCTAAAAGGTTTTAAACTTAAACACGAAGGATTAAGGGAATTTTGGAAAAATCAGAACAGAGTCACGGTACCCCTAGCGGTACGCCACACGGTAGGGTATACCGCGTACACGGTACCCCCATACCGTGTAACGGTACCTAGGTACCGATGGTAGGCGTAGACGGTTGGCCGAACCCGTCCTAACCAGGTACCGCCAGAGGCGAAGTGAACTTTTGGAAGACACGGTACTCCCACACGGTAGGCCGTACCGTGTCACGGTACCTAGGTACCGGATGACACGGACCCCCCTACCGTGAAGGGTACCGGATCCGTTACAGCACTGTAGCAAAATTGCCAATTTGAATTAAATCAACCCTAATCACCTCCCAACGGCTAATTAACATCTTCCACTATAAATACAAGCCTAATCCTTCATATTTCTTCAAGAAACAAAGCTCTAAACATCCTCCCTTTATATTCTAAGTGTGTTCATTCTTTTATTAATTATTTTCAATATTTTGGCTATTTCAAGAGCCTTAACTTCCTGATTTTTATACACACACTTTGAGCTTGTGTTTCTAGTTATATACTCTCATATTCATAAGTTTGAATTGTATTTTTGAGAGAGTATACTTTCCTTCTACACCGGCTAAGTTTTGTTCTTCATTTCAATATTCTAGCCGTTATGTAGAATCTACTTT